ACGTCAGTGGGAGACACCAGGATGGGATATTTGAAAGTCACCCAAGATGTGAGGAGGGACCTATTCTCCATCTTCACTGCTCACCCTTTGGAAATTTTCTTTCAGGCCAAAGGAAACATGCCTGAGGAGTGGACCCCAAGCAGCCTGCACTGGGGCTGCCAATGGGAGGGAGCATCTGCCTGGGCAGGAAGGATAAAGTGGGAACATGGGTCTTCTTGTAACTCACTACACCAGTGGTCTGCAGATTTTGTTGTGTATCAGAACCACCCACAAGGCCCCACCCCCCAGAGTTTCTGATTTAGTGGATCTGGGGAAGAGCCTGAGAATTTTCATTTCCAACAAATTCCCAGATGATGTCAATACTGCTGGTCTGGGACCACACTTTAAGAACCATAGCATCCTTTTGGAAACTCTCAGGAGGCGGCTGGTGGGTGGCTAGGTATTGTACCCTTGTTTGTGTTTCTTCACATCCTTACTTACCCCTCATTGATTTTGCCTCCTTCCCCTGCCTTCAACACAGTCATTGCTATCACTAGGCCTTGGCCTCTTTTTCACCCTATCAGAACACCCTTCCTCCTCTTTTCTGTCTCTTCATCTTCCTTTCATTCTCCAAAGCTCAAGTCAAATCCCACTCTTTCCATGAAGATGATTCTAAACAGCTCAAGCTCTCATTTCTCTCTTTTTTTTTTTCCCCTTAAGTCTTGCAGTTTTTGTGGTCTGTGGTAAGTCTTAACTGTTCCCAGACTGATTCATGGGGTTTCTTTCTTCAGTGAATTATAAGTTCTTGCAGGCAGGGATGGTTCATAGATAAAAGTGGTGATGATATTTAAGATGGTGAATGTTTACTATGAGTTAAGCATTGTACTAACCCTTTTACATGTATTAATTCCTGAGGTATTATCATTCCCCTTTTACAAGTGAGAAAAACTGAAGAGCAGAGAGTGCATAATATCACACAGCAGCACTTGGTGGGGCCAGTATTGAAGCCAAGACCACCTGAGTTCTCTTTAACCACTACCCAGGTGATGCAAGGGTCCCCTAAGCACCTCAGGCAAAGCACTCAGCATGGCACCTGGAATATAGCGGCAAGAGCACTCTGTAAATGGCAGCCAGGATTCCAGAAGGAAAGGCTGATTCCTGAGTGGTGACTGAGGGAGCTGAGCAGACACGTAGCCTACATTTTCTTATGATCATTTTACTTTGATCAATGCCTTTTGCATTATCCTAAGCACACAGAAATGAGGCTTATAGGTGCGCAGAGTTGCTTCACACATAGCTCAATTGTCTTTGCAGTGTGCTATTCACCTTTTATTTTCTTTTTATTTTCATGGGTGATGGCCTGTATTTGAATGAGTGGGATAGAGTTACAAGAATGTCCCATGTTCACAAAACAATCAGCTTTTTGTTTTTATTTGAGATGGAGTTTCATTCTTGTTGCCCAGGCAGGTGTGCAATGGCGCGATCCTGGCTCGCTGCAACCTCTGCCTCCCCAGTTCAACCGATTCTCCTGCCTCAGCCTCCTGAGTAGCTGGGATTAGAGGCATGCACCACCACACCTGGCTAATTTTGTATTTTTAGTAGAGATGGGGTTTCTCCATGTTGGTCAGGCTAGTCTTGAACTCCAGACCTTAGGTGATCCGCCCGCCTCAGCCTCCCAAAGTGCTGGGATTACAGGCGTGAGCTACTGCACCTAGTCGAAACAACGTTTATGCTCTAAAATTTGCCACTCATTTGGGGCCTTAATCAATAACCCCAGGACTTAATAGCTCTGCAGGGCACACAACATGTACCAATTGCTAGATGTGAAAATAGAAAATAAAATATAACACAAACATTCATATTTATGAATTTTCATTTTCACAGCAATATCTTTAATAGTGAAGCCAATAATGGCAACATGAAGCATTGATAATCACTATAGCAATGTTTACAAACTCTATAATATAGCAGTTAATGTATTGCTATTCTTTTGCTCAAATGCAAATCTGTTTTTTGGCATATCTCTTAATTTCCACCAGATGAACATGTTTATAGGTACACTGAAAGCCTACAGTATTATTTGGTTAGGATGGCTTCTTTTAACATAAGAAGCTCTAAAGTTTATATTTCAAAGAATGACACACATAATTTATCACACATCAAAATTCTGAATATACCAAGCAGTCATGCTTGTCATTATACTAAGTCTTTCCTACAGTTAGTCTATTTACCTAACACACTTTTCTCCCTGAAACACTGAGGTATATGCTTTTGTATACTTCTATTTCTATTTAAAAGACAGAAAATGATGTCACAAGCAGGTCAGGCGTGGTGGCTCACGCCTGTAATCCTAGCACTTTGCGAGGCCAAGGCGGGTGGATCACAAGGTCAGGAGTTCGAGACCAGCCTGACCAACATGGTGAAACCCTATCTCTACTAAAAAAAAAAAAATACAAAATACTAGCTGGGCATGGTGGCATGTGCCTGTAATCCCAGCTACTTGGGAGACTGAGGCAGGAGAATTGCTTGAACCCGGGAGGCAGAGGTTGCAGTGAGCCTAGCTGAGATCATGCCACTGCACTCCAGCCTGGCGACAGAGACTCCATCTCAAAAGAAAAGAGAAGAGAAGAAAAGAATGTCACAAGCAGAAACCACTTAACTAAAAATCCCAAAGAATACATATCAATCTGTATTACCTTGCACATTGAGCATGAGCACCAACATGCTAAAGTAAACAGATGGACTTTGAGGACAATGGGTGCAATTAGCTGTGTGGACTGGGCCAGATACCTGTACAGGGATGCTGTAGGATGCCTGAGTCACTTTGTATGAGCTAAATGAAAAGGACAGCACCTCTTAAGGATCACAGGTACAAAGGTAGGCTCAAGTCTCAAACTCAAGGAGGTAGCTTGTCCCCACCCCTAAGAAAGGCAGCAGAGTAGTTACACTGGTGGCAGCAACATAGAACCAAAGTGGAAGGTACCTATTTAAGCAGAGTCTTGCTTGAAAATGCAGTGAGTCACATGCTGCACATGGCAGGCTGTGATGGTTGAAGCCTCAGCTTTGAGGTGGCTCTACCCAGTCAAGGTTTTTGCCTGCAGAGCCCCATTTTTGCCCTCATTTACAAAATTGCCATTAGCAGCCTCTAAGCCTACTGCCTTCCCCATACACACATGGATGGTCATTTTTCAATTATTGATGCTAATGGGTGAGAGGGATAGGGAAAAGAATGAATAATTGGCTCCCAACTTCATATTCCTTTACTTAACACTTCCCCAGTCTTCTCCACATCCAAATATCTTATCAAAGTTTCCAGCAAATCTTAACCTTGAGGGATGTACCCAAATGTGCTTCTCTGGGACTCTGAATTCCCAGTGCTTTTTTGTGTGTGTTGATGTGTTTGCTGCAGGAATTGCAAGAACCTAGAAACTCCCAGAACCCCTGCCCTGAGGAGACTTGCAGGGTTCTCGCTGGAGGTCTTTAGAAGGCTGGGTTCATAACTGCGTCTCTCTTAACCAAAGCATGCAGCCTCCCCTGGAAACATGATAATCTTCAGCTTCTAACAAAAAGGTTTTGCTTTGTGGCATTTAGCTTCTGGTCAGTTAGCTGTTGTTTCTCCCTCCATCCCAGATCAATCTCAGAAAACCAGGTTAGCTCTAAATCTGGTGACTATTAGGAGCATACTGTCGGTGTGAATTTGTGTGTAAATTTAGAAATATTGCCACTTCCCTCCAAAGCTAATTGTCCATCTTAAATCAAGGGGAAGAAAATGGCTAATTTCTTGGCTGAAATCATTTCTGTCATTTTATTATGTACTTGAGACTATTGCAAGCAAATGTAGAGATTTTTATTAAACTGTATTGGTTTTTAGAGCTGAAGATTTTAGAAAGCTACTCCAGATCTCAGGCTTCTAAACAAACCGCCAGTGAGATCAAAGCTGCTCTATCTGGCTCACGTATTACAGCCCAGGAACCTGAGCGAGTTTTGAGCAAGAAATAATCTAAAACAAAAGAAAACAAAACAAAAACTGCCTCTAATTCTGCATAGCAGACACTCACCAATTAACTGATTATCAAATGCTTTTTGACAGAGCAATCTTGCCATTGGCATAACTTAAATACACTTGTTTATCAATTGCTCTTTGCTTTTTAAATTTTTCATTAATATATGGGAGATTGGGTTTCTGGGTGGTCTGTTGATAGCTCAACTTCATTGTGACTTATGCCCCCCAGCCCTCCATTCTTCTCTGTCTTGGAGGAAAACCAGAAACCTCATGACCAGTTCTTTTCCTATATGCCTCCAGGTTACATTTGTCCAGTGAGAGGCACCCCCGTGAAATATCTGAGGCAGAAAAGGAGAAGCTATTTTTCTATAGTGCCAGCTACAGGCGGTTACTCAGAGCCTCAGCTTCTCAGAGTCCTCGTGAGAAGCACCTGCGACGGGCAACTTGATCACAACAGAAGCCCCAGTTTCTCTTGAGAGCTCTGCACTTTGGTTACCCTTAAAGCAATCTTCTGACCTTTCCTTACCCAGCCCTTCTAATGGTTGTGCAAGCCTCAATTCCTCTTTCAACTCTCTCCAACCCATCAAAAACCTAGCACCATTTCTATTTTCTGATTAAATCCTGACTGATACTGGGGCCAGGGATTCATTCTCTTTTATGCCTCTTTTTTCTTATAATACAAAAGCTAGGGGTATTAGTCAGTGAGAAAGTACTTATTGAAAGCACACGCCAGGTGCAGTGGCTCATGCCTGTAATCCAGGACTTTGTGAGGCTGAGGTAGGTGGATCACCTGATGTCAGGAGTTTGATAGCAGCCTGGCTAACATGGTGAAGCCCTGTCTCTACTTAAAAAAAAAAAAAAAATTAGCCAGGCATGGTGGCAGGTGCCCATAGTCCCAGCTACTTGGGAGGCTGAAGCAGGAGAATCACTTGAACCCAGGAGGTGGAGGTTGCAGTGAGCCGAGATCACACCACTGCACTCCTGCATGGGTGACAGAACGAGACTCCATCTCAACAACAACAACAACAAAAAAAGCACATAATTACATAATTTATATTGCAGTGTGTTAGGTATGAGGGCTCACATCAAGATAAAGTCCCCAAATAAAACAGATAAAATAATGACCATGCATATATAAAATGTATATGTAAACACAATAACTAAAAGTTTGTGCCAAGGAAAGATTGGATCAGGGAATCTTCTGGAGGCAAGAAAATCTCTAAGATGTTTCCTTTCTTTCTAAAATCTTCTGCTGGGCAAACGTTCAGCAGGCAGCCTTCTTGGACATGGGCTGTCGTCCTGGACTGCATCCATCCTGAGCTCTCTGATATGCCATCCTGCAGGGCAGCACTGTCACTGTATGCCAGGGGCACAGGAAGAGGGAGGCCTGTGAATGAAGAAATGTAGTATTTAATTTTCTGCTGCTTCCTGGACACTCACAGGGTGTAACTGGGAAGAATTTGAGGCTGCGAATAGTTCCATTATAAGGTACACCTATCATTTAGAAGGAGTTGGGCTTCAAGACCGAAAATGCTGCCTCAACTGGCTTAAACCACATGGAATGGATACAGGAACAATCAGAGGCCCCATGATGCCACCCACCGAGGTTTGTCTCGTCCTCTCTGCTGTCCTCAGCATCAGTTCTATTTTGATGCTGTCCTCCCTGTGGAGGCAAGACAGCTGCCACATTCCTAAGTAACACATCTAGAAACAAAATAACATTGGGTGCCAAAAAGGGAGCATGGTTTCTGGTGTTTGTATTTTCAGAAACAAAGAAAACTCTCCCTCTAAACTCCCAGCAATCCACCGCTCTTGCATGTCCCACTGGCTAGAAGTGAGTCACAAGCCCACCCCTAAACCTATTATTGGAAAGATAATGGGGCCATACAAATGGGCTTAGTTCAGCCAGGATTCAGCCCTGGAAGTGGGGTAAGGCCCCTGCTTTGTGCCACACTGGAAAGGGATGAGTGCCTGAGACTGGGGCTTTGACAATAGAAAATCAGAAGGGGATACATATTGGTTTCTCTAGAAATGATCTGATCAAAATAGTAGTTACTGGCTGGGCACAGTGGCTCATGCCTATAATCCCAGCATTTTAGGAGGCCAAGGCAGGAGGACTGTTTGAGCCCAGGAGTTCAAGACGAGCCCAGGCAATATAGTGAGAGACCCAGGCTCTACTCATCAGCCCTCATGAGAAAAAATTTTTCTGGGCATGTGGTATGTGCCTGCAGTCCCAGCCACTCGGGAGGCTGAGGAGAGAGGATCTCTTGAGCCTGGGAGGTCAAAGCTACAGTGAGCTGAGATGGTGACATTGCACTGCAATCTGTCTCCAAAAGAAAAAGAAGAAGAGGTAGTTAATTATTGTAACAGGAAGCAAGGAGGGCCTCAGATTTGTCAGTGTTGTTCATGACAACCACACACTTTCAGAAAGTTTCAGTGGGATTCATACCTTACTTTGCACCACCACACTCCACGGGGCTTGGATGCAATTGTGCTCTATGTAAATGTGTATTGTGTATTCAGCTATTCCTGGAATTCTATTTTCAATCTATTTTCAATTCTATTTCAATCCTGATTAATTAGAGGGATACTTCTTTACCACGACAAAGTCATGGTCAGAAGAGAAGCTCAACATTGTACCGAGGTCACAGAAATAGAATTCCATTATTGTGCCTAGAGCAAGCTGAGTCACATGGGTGGAAAATTTTAGATTTCAGTATTGAGGGGCCACCAGAAAATATTCAAAAATATGTAATGAATAGCTTTCCATAGAATAAGACAATGCCATACGTGGCCCACCTGGAGATGACTTGATCTGGTGTTTTCTCGATGTTATTAGGGTTTCCTGCAAAAGCAAACAAGCAAAAAACAGTGGTTCCATTGTTAACTATATTAGGGAAATGTTGACCTAAACAGGGTAAAACAGGCATATCTACTTTAGGACCTCTCAGAGTTGTTGATACGGTGCCACAAACTGTGGCTCTCCAAAAGGGGACATTATATTCAGTGTTTCTCAAACATATTTGATCACAGAATACAAAATGGAATATGGTGAAACTGATGTGCAGAATCCACTTTGGGAAAGGCTGCTCAGGCCCTTCATTTTACAGCTAAATAAACTGAGGACCTGTGAAATGAAGGGATGTGTCCAAGCTTGTTCCATTAGCCAGGATTCCTCGGGATACAAACGGAAGCATCAAGAGAGTTTGAAATTTAAAAAAATGATTAAAGTAGGCAGGATTAGGGAAGCCAACAAGATATAGTGAGACACCCAGGGAATCACAGCAGTTAAAAGCTATTGCCACCCCAACCCTAAAGGGGAAAGAGAAGGAAGCTTGTTACTGGAGCTCAGCTGAGAGCTGGAGAAACGGAAGGGCTGCCTGTCAGAACTGTCATGGGGTAGGGAAGAAGGGGATAGATACGTGACCTCAGCCTGTCTCTCCTCCTGTCCTCCCCTTTCCCACTGGTGATGCCCATTGGCCAAATCCATGTGGAAGCCAGAGGGCGGAAGCCTGGTGATGTAGTCTGTAGAGGTCAGGCTCCCAGGCACAGAGCTGAGCAGAGAAGGGTGAGCACATATCTGTGGGGCAGGTGGGGAATAAACAGCACAATTATATAGCTAGTATTTTGCCTTTTTCATTTTTTTAGAAAAGTTTACCTCGTATATTTCATAAACTTATGTGAGTTGGCATAATACAATTTAATGCAATATAAAACAAAAAAATACTAAAAACATAAAGTAATGGTTTTCAAGATGTGGTCTCAAAGTGTGATTTCTAGGGGTGTCCAAGACCCTTTCAGATCTGCAAGGTCAATTTGTAATAGCACTGTGATGTTATCTCGTGTTTTTCTTTCACTCTTTCACAGGCAACCCGTGGGTTTTCCCATGCTGAGTGACGATGTTATTGACTGCTAATGGAATGTGTGCCTGTGCATTCTCGTGATTTAAAATTGCCCCATTTTAATTTCTAATATAGTAGATGATAAGCATTACTCAAATAAACACAGTTTCTTTGGGTCCTCAATTATTTGTGATGTAAAGAAACCCTGAGACCAAAATGTTAAAGAACCACTGATGTAAATGTAGCAAAACGACAGATGTGTCCAGGTGAGAGGTGAAGCCAGCTGGACTTCCTGGGTCCAGTGGGGACTTGGAGAACTTTTCCGTCTAGCTAGAGGATTGTAAATGCACCAATCTGCACTCTGTGTCTAGCTAAAGGATTGTAAATGCACCAATCAGCACTCTGCAAAAACGCATCAATCAGCGCTCTGTGTCTAGCTAAAGGATTGTAAATGCACCAATCAGCGCTCTGTAAAAACGCACCAATCAGCATTCTGTTTCTAGCTAAAGGATTGTAAACGCACCAATCAGCACTCTGTAAAATGGACCAATCAGCACCCTGAAAAATGCACCAATCAGTGCTCTGTAAAATGGACCAATCAGCAGGATGTGGGTGGGGCCAAATAAGGGAATAAAAGCTGGCCACCTGAGTGAACAGTGGCAACTCACTCTCCTCCCCTTCCACGCTGTGGAGGCTTTGTTCTTTTGCTCTTCCCAATAAATCTTGCTGCTGCTTACTGGGTCTGCACTACCTTTGAGAGCTGTATTTTAACACTCACTGTATTGAAACACTCACTGCAAAGGTCTGCGGCTTCACTCCTGAAGTCAGTGAGGCCAGGAACCCACTGGCAGGAAGAAACTCTGGACACATCTGAACATCTGAAGGAGTAAACTCTGGACACACCATCTTTAAGAACTGTAACACTCACCGCGAGGGTCCATGGCTTCATTCCTGAAGTCAGCAAGAACAAGAACCCACCGGAAGGAGTAAATTCCAGACACACAGGTACTGGAAAGGAACTATTCTTCACGCTGGGCACCAAATCTTCTAGGTTATCTAACAGCAAAGTTGATAGGAAACAAAAAGGTTAGATGGTAAGTCATCTGTAGAGCCTGAGATGTGACTTGGGGAAGTTTTCCAACAACAAAGTATAAGAAGCTCTTGTGTGGAGTTCATGTATAATGATCTACTTATCTAGAAATGACATATGGGATACTGGATAATAAAACAAAGTATCTTTATTGCAAGAGTGGTGCATTAGTTTCCTATTGCTGCATAATAAATGATCACGCATTCGATGGCCTAAAAACCATACCCATTTGTTATCTCACCATTTTTGGGGGGTCAGGAATCTGGGCATGTCATAACTGGGTTCTCGACTCAGGGTCTCACAAGGCTGAAATCAAGGTGGATTGCATTCTCATCTGGAGGATGCAATGGAAATGCTAGGATCTGCTTCTAAGCTCCCGCAGATTGTTGGCAGAATTCGTGTCTTTATGACTGTAGAATTAATGGCAGCTTGCTGCTTCAAAACCAGCAACAGAAATGAGTCTCTCTGCTTCAGGTGTCAAACTCCAGGAAAGGCCTGGCCCCTCTTTAAAAGGCTCACTGATTCGGCCAGGCCCACTGAGGGCAAATGCTCTTTTGTTTAACTAAAAGTCACTTGATTAGGGATCTTAGTTATACCTGAAAAAAGTCCCTTCGACTTTGCCGTAAACATAATTACAGGAGCGGTATTTCCTTACTTTTGTCCTATCTTATGGTTAAAAGCAAGTTATGGTTTCCACCCACATTCATGGCAAGGGGATTAAGAGCATGACTCATTAGGGGTCACCCTATCGTGTATCTGTCAGAGGTGGGGAACAGATTCAACCATAATCAGAAGGGTTTTAATACGAAGGGTTTTAATACAAAGGCATTAGCACAGGTACATGACCAAACTCCTGAGTGAAGACCTTAGAAGTAATATTCTTTGGGGCAAGATTCCCCTTGTGTGAACAACATTCCAGACTCTCAATCAAAACACTACAGTCAAAATCAGAACACAGAAATACGGAAGCATTGCTACCTTGGACAAATGAAGCAACGACAAACATGATGTAAAACGTGAGTCAGAATCAAAATAAAGTCGCACCAGGATCCTACAATTCTGCTACTTATTGGCTTGGTGAATTTGGCACCTCTAATCGTCATTGGCAAACACTAATCCTGCTGTAAAAGCTAATTAGGATTAAGGAGCATTATCCTGGAGGCCAAAGGGATGTGTATGAGGTTTTAAAGGCCCTAATATATGTCTTTGAATTTATTAGACTGATATTTTAGTATTTTCCAAAGTTCTCTTCCTGAAAACTGTTGAGAAAAAAGCTGATAGGATTTTTAAATGAATATCCTACAGATGAGGGGGTATTGAAGGAATTTTCTAGGAATAAACTAGTCTAACTTGGGGGTGATAATTTCCTTCTGTAAAGATGGAGGAGGCCACTCTCTATGCCCATGATGCAGAAACAATACTTGTAGAATTTGTTAGAGGAGCTCACTCATCTAGAAGACAAAAGTTACTATTTTGGGGAGACGGGAACAACTTCAGTGGCTCTTTGTGCTCTGTACACAGTCTGCTCTCAGAAATGTTGATTGAAGATGAGGATGAAGATAGTGAAGATGAGGAAAATGATAATCCTCAGAGAGTTCAAAACACTACCTCTAAATAGCTGTCTTTGCTAATAATGCCTTGTTACTGGCCAGGACCATGTGATATGGGAAACAGGGCTGGCCTCCAGCTGAGGAAGGGGAGAGAATAGAGAGGAGAGGGGAGGCTGCCAGGGCAGGGAGCTCTTGGGTGGAAGGCCGAGAGCCTCAGAGACAGATTTCACCTAATGTAAATGTTTCCCAGAATGGTTGCTATATTTGTTCTAAGTAGTTTGCTTATGCCAAAAGTGCATATTTTCCCAACAGTCCTCAGGAAATAAGACACAGAAGTCTGTCTTTAATTTTCATGATATCCTGCAATTTAAATCAGTCTGGATGCATCTGTGTGGTTTTTATTTTTTGGTATTGTTTAGATGTAATTAAGCAAATCAATATACAGGTACTTAACTATATATTAACAGGGCCATTTGCTAACAAACTTAGTTATAGGATGGAATTATACCGTAGTAAATATTTAAAAACTTGTAATAAATTCAATTATTATCAAGTCATTACTCAGAATCTGAATTTATAGATATATTACCATATCTTGACAGGAATTTATATTGATTGGATATTTTGAATATTAATAAAATATAGAACTTAGTATTAATAAGTGGAACTACAGTACAATTTTAAAAAAGAGAAAAACAAAATTGTGATTTTTCTAGTTTTTTAGAATTGAAGGGGTTAATATGTTTCTCTGAGTCTCACATATTTGTATTTGCCTCTATGGCTATCAAAAATTTATAAAAGCTACTCTAAGATTGGTTATCTTATTTTTTGTTTTTCCTCCATTTATTTGTGTTTATTAAGGAAAACGGTAATGGAGCTAAAGGTAGGTGAGTCGCCTATAATAAGGAAGCTACAGTAATTAAATTATTGTAAGGCCACCCCTCGAGCTGTCATTCGAAAGGATGAAAGCTTAATTTTTCCATCAACAAAGTAAATTTCATCCAAGCTGTTGTTTAGAATGCCACATGCATTTAAAAATTATATGTTTAAACTAATCAGGAGCAAATGGAATTTAAACCCCTCATCAAAATAACATGGATAGATTGTAAATTTATGGAGCATTTTCACTATAGAAAATTAAGTCCATTCAAAACATATCCAGGATTCATCAGGCAGACGGGGCAGTACTGATGTAAACTACCCACTGTGTGAGCTTAAGGCAGAAAGGTCTCTAATAAATTAGAGTAAATAGCAGCTGAACTGGCCTCACCACGGCTTGTCTGTTCAACCTGGCAAGGAAAAAAAGTTAGCATTAATTGGTATGCTCTAGGCTCTCTCAAAGGAACAGGCACTTAGAGCAATTAAGTCAGATGCAGAAAAACAGCTCTGCATTGAAAAGCTGACAGCAGGACTCCTGCACAATATACGTAATGAGTGGCTGAGGACTTTAATGGATGGAGGCTTGGAGACTAATGGACAATTAATGTAAAACAGATGACTTCCCTTGGAGATGACAGTCTTTTGAAAGGCGCTTCACCTGCTGCTCGAACAAATGCGGCTAAAGCGAAATGAAAACAGGAACGTGGTCTCATTGAACAAGGCTAGAGCTAGTATTTGTGTCCCTGCTTTCTCCTTGAGTATTTTCAAAAACTAGGTCAGGAATTTAACAATTCCCTGCAGCTGGTGGTGCAAGCCCCCTCCTGTGGCCTCCTGCCATCCAGGGTGGCCTGAGATCACTGACTGTGCCTCTTGAGCCTTTTGAGAAGCTGCCCTAGCTCGCCTTGTTTAACAGGCAAAAAGAAGACAGGCCATATTATAGTGTCCCAGCCTCACTTTTAAAATGACAACAAACCACCCAACATAGAAATTGCAGTAAATACATATTGGAACATCTCTTAGAAATTGAAGAACATGGTTTCTTCTCAAACTAGGCTATTTTAATTGTGCTTTAACTTTAAGTTAAGATAACTGGAGTCCTTCAAATTCAAGCTTTATAAGCACAGACAGGCTCCCTCCTTATGATAAGTGGTTATGTACCGAAAGCAAATAATTGTTTGCAAAGAGAAACTCATTTCCTATAGAAACAA